TATATATATATGTATACATATATATATATACATATATCCCTAAACGCACCTCTCCCTGGCGGACGCTGGTCTCGTCCAGAACCACGAAGCTAAGGTGCTCCAATGGGGTCTGCAAGGCATGCTTGGTTCCGCAAGCACGTTTGCCCCGACCCATGCATTTCCAGAAGCCCGGGCTGGATTGTTAGCGTACCGAAAGCCGGCACCTAATTCGGATAGCATCCGAAATCTCTGCGAGAAACACTTCTGCAACTTAAGGAACAATCCTGAATCAAACATAGGTTACTGGAGCCTGCGGGATCGCCGATCTGCTTGAATCAATCACGAAGAGTAAATAGTACCTGTCGCCCTTTGATGCTGGCCTCCCTTACACCAGAACTTCCAAACCACAACGAGTAAAAACAAAAACCGGGCAGCCACAATATCATCCTCTCTAACACGTGAATGCTGCACAACCCCCATCACAAGCCCGAGCCCCTAGTCCTAAAGCCTTTGCCGGACAGTTGATGTCTTCCCTTTATATAGTCCCGATACAAGTATATAAGAATATAAGTATATAATAATATACGTATTTCGTAACATAAGTATATAACAATATAAAAATATAAAAATATAAGTATAAAATAATGTTACCCGATTGTTCGTACCTCGAGCCTTCAGCACATCTGCGAGGCTGGTCTCCAGGGACAGGGCGAAGGGCCCCGACCAGTGACCCTCACGGCCTCGAGCACTTTTGTCCGTCGCGGAAATACCGTGTGTATAGATAAACAGGTGATGACATCATAAGCTAACAAATCCATCTGTGGACATATATATATACACACATGTAGAGTTGTACATGTGCGTGCGAACGAATAAACAAATCGGAAAAAAATGACCCTATGCACATAGAGAGATATATAGATATATGTTGATATAGACGTATGTGCCTGTATGTAGGTAGCCATATAAACATATATATATATACATATTTATGTTATTATATTGTATTATTTTATACTATGTCAAGTTATGTTATACTGTATTATGTTATGCTATGTTATACATATTAGGTTATATTGTATTTTTATGTTAGGTTATATTACATTTTAATTGTATTATATTACATCATATTCCATTACATTAAATTATATATGTAGGAGTTTGTGGGGGGATGCTTGTTTGCGCACGCATGTATGCACGTATGCACTTGTTTTTGCTTCGGGCCACAAGCTCCATGCAACGCATGGGCAGGCTTGCAAAGTCTACCCTCATTAAAGTGCAGGTGCCAACGAAGCAAGAGTGCCGGAATTCCAAAAGCGGGCGGAATTCTCCGCAGGAAACTCAATCTTCTTGTTGATACCGCTTTCCCGTCTGCCATGCTACTGTTAGTCGGGATGCCTGTCAGGTAGAGGCAGGCGACAGGGGCTTCAGAGGGGATTCACTACCCTTGACCACCAATCATCCCCCTGTCGCCTTCCTGAGCCTACAGCTCCAAACGCAGCTGGTCATGCAATGCAATGCTCAACATAATGCCCACATATATTGCAAAAAGAAGCTGAAAGTATGCTCTCCGCCAGGAAGCTCGGTCCGGGCCCCCTGCTGTGTGGGACTTGCACTGTGCGATGCTCCGCTTCAAAGAGGCTGCAGTTGATCAGCATGCTGGCGCAGAAGCGAGCTGGTGGCGGGATTTCCTTCTTTCTGTCTTTTAGGTGACTGCGGGCATGTGATGGGGGTCGTGCTGGTGGTGGTCGTGGCGGTGGTGCTGCCTGCGGGAGCCTGCCAGGCTGCTACAATGTGACCACCCCCCAACCTAATGTACCTGGGGGTTCTGTTACATCGAGATCTGGGGGTTCGAACTGCAGTTGTGGATGTTCGTGTATAGCAGGAACCCCGGTTTCCTTTATTCAACGGTGAACAGTCTAGCTGACATTTTGCAGCTTGGGTGTAAAATCCTGACTTAGGGTTCGTGTTCCTCAGAATTCAAGTGGCGCTCAGGTTGATACGCACACGTAAGCGAAGGGAAGCTAAACATGCAGCCATCAAAAAGAAGCAATTACTTGTAGCAGGTATTAGCAGGTCACGGACAGTTCAGCGAAAGCGCAACAGTGACCCACCACCGGTCAGGAGTAAGATCCATGGAGACGCTAGTTGGCCGATGTTGGCCGTCAGTTTCTCATCATCTTCCTCATGGCTGAGCCGTGAGTATCCCAGGCGCGGTGAGAAAGAAGATGTTGACGGCCACAATCTCTGCAATGATGATGGTAATGCTGAGGCGATGTGCATAGCAGATAAACACTTCAAGAAGATGCTCTGGCCATAATTACAATGTGTAGGTTTACTTCCAACTGTCGGAGTAGTGGGCCATGACAGTATCGGAGTGGAGCTTGCAGCTGCTTGTTGGCAGTCGCCTGGTGGGCGGTGGTACGCGGACGATGCTGTTTTGACAGCTGATGATGATGATGATGGTGATGACGATGGTAGTGATGTTGATGCCGGTGCCTCGCGGATGCGGGGCATCCGAGCATCGTCAGCTGCAGATCCTGGCTCTTTAGGTGTTCGGGTCAGTTCGGGCTTAGGGCCCCTATTTCGGGTTTAGGGTTATTGAAGCCTCATACTGAAGGTTCAGGACATGGGCCCTGGAGTCTCTCCCTAAAGATCATCAGGACAAGCTCCTTCAAGTCCCCGACATAAAATCAGACCCTGGACCACAGCCCAGCCCTTGCCTTAGAAACCAGCCCAAGCATTACGACCTGGGGATCCGCAGAACTGCACACCGACAAAGGGATGCTAAGCAAGCCGACTTGCAGGTCCAACCAACCCCGAATCCGAAGATGACAATTGATTGGGGTCTGAATGAATGATTAGTAAGTTCGTAATCCTATATCCTTGTGCTGTGCGAAGTCAAGCCCTCCTCCGTTGGGCATCCCTACGCCACTAGAGGGAGAGGCCCTTCGGCTGCACAGATGCTTCAGGGTGTAAGGTTATGGCTTAGGGCATGGCCTGGCAGATGATCGTGAAGTCTGGCGCAATCATCTTCATCACCTCAGTGGCTCAGGTGCGTGGCCAGGCGCTGGGATCGGATGTAGCCAGTATCTGACGGAGGAAGTCAATCCACTTCGACCGCTTTTCTTCTTCACGGCAATCTCAGCTAAACTTCAGCACAAACTTGTTGCTGCACAGCGCTACCTATGCAGAATGACAGCTGGCCCCAAAAAGGGGTTCTGCAAGCTGCGAAGCAAACAAGCTGGGCCTTTCTTTTGGATGATAACTGCAGTTATAATAACCATAGTAAGAACATAACTTTTGTTATTCGTGTTACTGGGTATTATGATACATGAACAATAGTGATACTAAACATTGCTATTGTCATTGTTGTAATAATATTCTTAATGGCAACAGTTTTGGAAACAATGGTAATAATACTAAGCATGGAAAAGTAATAATCATAATAGTTATAATAGCAAGAAGAATAACAAAAGAGGCCGACTGTGGCCAAGGACGCCACGCAACAAAATCGAAGCACACCTCGATCCTGCCATGGGCTTCGACTCGCACACTCGCTCGAAGCAGGCACGGATTCCAGCAACTGGTCTCAAGAACTCGACTGCAGATATCAGGCATGGGTGCAGGGTTTAAGGGGGCAGAGTCGCAACCTCGAGCAGAAGAAGGCATGTAAGACTGGGGCATTGGAGGTTTGCCGGTAAAACGCGCAAGTCTGAAGCCCAGGCGTTCTTATCGCCCCCCCGGGCCTCCGCTGCGCTGCCGGATAAGCTGAGTCTGATGTGGGACGGACCTCCGGGATGGTATCGACTCTTCAAGCGTTTGCGAGTTTAGAGCTTAGGTCTGCAGAGCTTGCGTCCTCTTCGCTTCAGAGCCCCCGAAAAGCCGTGCATTTCACTAGGCCGAAGCATCAGTTCCTCTGAGAAGCTGACCACAGGCAATGGTATGGAGATCTAGGGCGGCCTGCCACATGCCCAGAGAAAACTCCATGTGGGCGGTTGGAATCGCTCTGCTGGTTCGGTCGATCATGAGGTAAGTAGTCAGTGATAGCATGACTAACAAGATCTCGCTTCTCAGCAGTAACCTGACCAATATATTTTTTAAAGGGGGGTTGGCTATGGAAGGCTCCTTTTCTCACTTAGGGTTGTGCAACCCGGTTAAAAAGGGCACTTTCAGATGCGTGGCGTGTATCTGACCAAATCGGCCCTGGGTCAAAGCAATCTCCTGTAAGTCATGAAGATCCGTAAAACTCAAAAAAAGGGGCCTCAATGAACAGGGGCTTATACTCGACTTGTATCAGTGAATCAGGGACTGGAAGGGGGATTCCACTGCTAAGACTTCCGACCCTTTTTCTTGCCTCCCTCCCCACCCATCCGTGCACCTCCCCGAGGTTCTGGGAGTTGATCCTGGCTGCACATTCCCAAAATCTCACTCGTTTAGGATTTAGGGTTTTTTTTTGACATTCACACTCGGACAAGCCTGGCAAGGTCTGTAGCGATGCTGGTTCGACGAGTCGTTAACACTGCACTCGGCACGTGGGATAGGGTTCAGGGCCTTAAGCTCTCACAACTCGGACATGCCAGGCGAGGTTCGCAGGTGTGGGTCGGTGTGACAAAGCACGGTCTCTGGGGTTTCAGTACTCACTCTCGGACAGGCAGAGACTGGGGCTTAGGGTTTAGGGTGCAGGGACTTCAGCACAGGGGCCAAGCGGATCGACCGACCCTTCAAACTCGACAACCGGGCCTGTTGAAGCATTGTATCCGGAGCGATCGGTTCTTGAGCTTCTCCAAGTACGGTCTTAGCAAGAGGACAGCTTGGCTTCATGAAGCTGGCACATCCGGCTGGTGGCAGCAGCAACTGGTAACGGTTTTCTTTTGTGGCAACTGCGTCCTGTGCTGCAGAAAAGCTAAGGCTTCTGATACGAGCTGTCCAGCACTCAAGTGACGAAGCGGCCTGTTGAAAACACCTCGTCTGCGGAAGCGCCGACTCTGCAGACGAGTGAAAGGCCACGGCTCGCCGGCCTAGACAGTGGCCTTGGCGAAGAAGTCGGGTGGGGTTTCGTCCGACACATCGTCCAGGATATCGTCCAAGACCACATCCGAGATGCCTTCGCAAGTGCCCTCTGCAAGGCCCATCTTCGGGGTGCGGGACTCCATGAGTGCCTCCTTCGTCTCGCCGCCGATGCCCCGAACCAGGTACTCCGCCCTCGCTGCAAACTCCCCGATTCCGAAATCGTGGTCGAAGTCATTTTGAGCCCAGCTGGGGAAACGTGGCGCGGAGCATGTGCTGCCATATCCGGCTTCGTTCATGGCCTCCTTGCAAATGGACGGGCACCAATCCGTTGTGATGAGCTGAATCAGAACGAACTTGTTGCGAATATTCTGCACCTCGGTGCGGATGTCATCCGCCTCTTCCTCCTTGCCCTCTGCCTGCAGCTTGTCTGCTGCCTTCAGGGCTGCAGCAGCTCCACCGTAGGAGGTGGTGTGCTGGGGCGTGAAAGACAGAATCTCAGCACAGGGGCTGGCTGTCAATTCAAGCTTCGACAGGTTCGCCATCATGCCGAAGGAGCAGCTTGCCGACTTCTCCGGCCTCTCCTAGGTTCGTGTTCAGGAACTTCGTTTAAGGTACCAGAATAGGAATCTACAGTAAATAATGTGGTTTCCTTAGCTTAATAGAGTAACGCCCTTAACAAGAACCCCGTCTCCTTCATGCTCTGCTTTAGCTTGTAGGGCGAGTAGTAGGATGCGGCTGCCTCGCTCAAGGAGTGATCCACCTCGCAGTACTGGGCGATCTCTTTCTTGTTGGTTTGAGACCAGTGCTTGGTGTCCTCGTAGGTCAGGCCCGCTTCCACTTTCGTCTCCAACTTGTTGAGGTAAGCTTTGGAAGTTCTCTGGGTCTTGATGGAGCAGCCCGTGGGAAGAGTGGTGCTGTTGACGACCTTCACCTTCTGAATGCCCTTGGCACGGACCGCGGCTTTGCAGGCAGGAAGCTTGGTGATGGGAGCCAGCTTGATGGAGCGGGCGTTCTTCTCGCAGCGCCCATCGTACACCCAGCTCCTCTGCGGGGGCGAATCGTACGACACCAGCTTCCCCTGCCGAGCACGCGTGTAGAAGTAGGCATCCAGCTGCCGCATCAACAGGCACACGTCCCTCTTCGTACACTCCTGGATCTGGTACTTGTCTCGCAAGCCATCGAAGTACGCCTTGGTGGAATCCACGGCTTGGCACTCTGCTCGCTCCCGGGTCAGTTCGATCTCACCACTTCGCCGAGA